AAGCATAGCCTTTCTATTCTTGTTATAAGCATTAAGTCCTAATAGGGCTTCTAGTGCAAAGGCAACAAGGCCTTGCGTAGAAGTAGACGCCCAAACCTTGTTGTGCCCTAAAGAAGGAACAGGAACCTAGGTCTAGGTCTAGGTCTAGGTCTAGGTCTGCAGCAGATTAATAAGTGTTAGGGGGGTTTTTAGGTTAAGTACTAGTACATATAGTAAAACCTTTTTCTAAGCATAATCTAACTTAAGCAGCTTATCTATTAATTAGCTAGGCTTCTCTGTCTCTTCTTTAACATTACTACTAGTGTGTAGGGTAAGCTTGTGTTCTAGGGTCTTATTTTTTATTACATTACTAGAATTAAACTTTAGGTTAGAGCAGTAGTTATCTATCTAGTCTACTTCTTTATAGTTAAGTAGGTTCTAGATATAAACCCCTTTATACACTTTATTATCCTTAAACTATGTTTACTTTAGGTTTTTTTTGTCTTTATTTACATCTAGGTAGTAGAAGGATAATAGCATTACTAAAGCAGCCTTCCTTTTCTTCCTTGTGTAGTCCTTACCTTAACTATAGTTATGTCCTTTCTAGAAAGTCAGACGCGCCACCCTGCTACTGCTGTCTCTGCCGCCTAGAATATCGCGCGCAGGTGCCTCCTTTTTGTCCTCCCTTAATCTATCTAATGCAGTGCTAGAATTAGAATTTAAATTTAAATTTAAATCTAAATCTAAATCTAAATTTAAATTTAAATCTAAATCTAAATTTAAATCTAAATCTAAATGTAAATGTAAATTAAAATTAGAACCTAGACTATGCTTAAATACATTAAGTGCTTTTTCTAGCTTAGTAGGGTAGACAGCATATTCCTTAGGGACCTATTTACTGCTAAGCGCCTTAATCTGTTTTACAGCCTTAGCGCGGCCACTCCTTCTTAACTAGGTTAGTCTAGCGTAAGCCTTTAGAGTTCCCACACACAAGATCTTAGAATTTAAAGCATTAGCTACAATAGTATCTATAGTAATATAATTACTACTATAAAGCTTAGAGTTAGCTGCTTATTTCTTAGCCTAGCTACTAAGCTGCTTAAAACACTTAATAAAATTCTATGCCTAGTTAAAGACAAAGGTCTTAAAAATACTGTAACTATAAAAGAGCCTATTAGCTTATTTAAAGAGGTTAAACATAACTACTCTTAGTGTAAAAGCATATATCTTAACCTTTAACAGCATTTTAAAATTATAGAACTTTATTAGCATGCCTTTAAAATAATAAGTCCTCTAGTGTTAGTTATTTATAATAGTGTTAAGAACTGTCTACAGGTTAGGTCCTTTAGCATTACTAAAGCAGAAAAAATAGGCGCGCTAAAGTTAACTAGTTACCTTGTAAAATTTATAATTACTCTTAATTACGTCTAAAAGCTTGCCCTAGGTTGCATTAAAATATAAAGCTAACTATATAATACTTTGTATAGCTACATATAAAATAATTTTGCTAGTCTTAGTGTTCTACCTAACTACTTTAATGTCCTTTAAGTTTTAGTCTAATTTAGTAAGCTTATTAGCAATAAACTTCTTAATAGCTTTAGCCTAAGCTTACTCTTCTAGCTATTTATTCTTAAAAAATGTGTCTATAGTAAGATTTAGTTTAACTTTATAGTAATCTTAAACCTTAAAGAAATAGCAAATTAGAAAAGCTAACTAGAATATAAAATTAGTGTCTAGATATAGCAAAAAGCTGTAGGTTTAGAGCTAACTACACTACTCCCTAGGCTCTGCCTAACTATAGCTAGAAGATGCACTTAGATCTATAACTCTGTTATAATGTTAGCTAAGCCTAAACCTAAACAGGTATAAGTTTACTAAGGAACTTAATAATGTTATAAAATATGTAAGATATGTACTAGAGTAAAAAGTTAAGCATAAGCACTAATTAGAGAGAAGAAAAGAAATAAGTACCTAAAGAGAAAAAAGTTTAGCCTTAGGTACTAGTACATAAAGCTAAACTTTCTCTTTCCCCTCTATTAGCTCTAGCCTAGGCATACTGTAATAAAAAGTCTAGTAAATATAGAAAACACTTACTAAATCTTAAAGGCCTAGCACTAATATTAGACTTAGCTGTTTCTAACTAGTTCCTAAGCAGGTTTATTAGAGTGCAATAGGTTATTTCCACCGCAGTAGGTAGCAAATAGAGGTGGAGAATATAGAGATAAGAGGAGAGAGGGGGAGGGCTTTTAGAATAGGTACTGCCTTAAAGGGACTTAAAAAAAACACTACACTTGCTAGAATTAGCTAATTAGAACTTTAGTACACTACACTAGTTAGCACTAGCTAGCAAATAACTTATAATTACTTTTTTAGTTAAAATTATTTAAATTTACTAAAATTACACCTGTCCTTGTTATTATTGTTGTTATTGTTGCTATTATTACTGCTACTGCTTCTGCTGCTAGAGCAGAGAGTAGTAGATTATAGAGGTGAAAAAAGCTTATAAGGTCACAAATAGTTGTTTATAGCTAGCGCGTGTGCTAAGCCTATATGTGGTTAGTGCATTAGCAGTGGCAAGTAGGTACCTATACTGAAACCCCCCCTCTACCCCCTAGCTATCTCCTTATCCTACACGTTAGCTAGACCCATGCTAAGCTGTTTAGCTACACATTAGAATAATAAATAAAACCCCTAGCTAAAAATATAATAATTATTTTATGTTAATTTTAAAAGAGTATTCTGTATAAGGTTTAGCGCATTTTACATTATAACGCATGCTCTATTACAGTAAATTTACCTGTCACGTGTGCTACTACGTATATACATGTTAAGGAGTGGACAAAGAGAGGGCGTTTAGCAATACATACTAGTACTTATACTAAAACCCCCCCCTCCTCTTCCTTCTACTCCCTCTCTCTCCCCCTCCTTCTTCTCTTCTCTTTAGCTATCTCCTGCCTATAAGTTTACACTATAGCTACGCTAATTATTTTATAGATCTTACTATTATCTCTTCCTAATAATACCTAAGCAACGCTTAACCTATATGCTATTATAACTATAAAATATTATCCTAATTAACCCTGCTAGAGTTTTCTAAAGAGACATTAACTTATTACGCATCTGCAGTAAGTCTTTTACACTACAGAGAGATAATTTACTATTTTGTGGACTATCTTAGTTTCCACGCTCTACTACCACCCACCCTAGCTCTCGCAGCATGCGGTTGCTTACCCCTTTGTGCTCTATATCCTGTAGTTAGTATATAAATAATAGCTTACAGGTAATTGTAAATTATCTTACTAATTTTCTTTATTATCTCTAGCACTTAAAGCACAAGCCTATTATCTACCTTTTATAGGAACCTCTTTAGTACAAGAAACTAAAGCATTCTTATTACTAAATTTAATGCAAACATTACAGCATTCTTCTTTAGCCCTACATTAAAATGCTGCGTTTTAGGCGCTACTGCTAGAGTAACTAATAATAAAGCTAGCGTTAACACTATTATTAGCATTATATTGCAGAGAGGATTACTAAGGCACTCTACTAAGCATTAGCAAGCAACTTAATAATGCTCTAGCACCTTTTAGTCTTCCCTCTTAAAATTCTTCTTTAGAAGCTAAAAACCTTCCTTAACTAGTAGTAGTATTATAGCAAAAGGAATAAGACAGCTAAAGTTAATTACTGTCTTCTTATTTAGTAGATGTTTAGCCTTGTGTTCTGCCTCCCTAGATACCTGTTTAAGGCTGCCTAGTCTTACTGTAAGCGCTGTTGCTAGAGGCGCTAATCTAGTTAGCCTAATAACCCTCTAATAGCTAAGCCTTAATTAATATAACCCTAGCATGCCTTTAACCTTGCTAGAAATTATTGCAACACACAGTGCACTAATCTAGAGCTCCCTACTTATTAAGCTTGTAGCTGTGTATTAGGCAGCTACGCAGAGGACTAAGAACTATGTTACATTCTAAGATGTAAAAGATTTATTTGCTAACTTATTAAATTACATACTGCTGTTATATAGCTTCTTAGCAAAGTCTTATTACGTCTTAGTTAATATAAAGGTAGGCAGGGCAGCATCTCTAGAGACAAAGAGCAAAAAAACTAGTTTATACTCTTTATTTAACCTAGATGTTAGTGCTAAAAAACCCTTAAAACATCTAAGTAGAGTAATAAACGTACATCTATAAGAATAGTTTCCTAGATTAGGACTATTGCTGTATAAGCTCCTACTAGTGCTCTTTGCTCTCTTATGTCTTACTGCCTCTCTAGCTTTAACTACCTTTGTTTAATGTACAACTAAACTAGTAGGTAATAAACATAATTATCTGTAGCACCTATAATTCCTAGAACATCTCCTCTAGGAACTTAGCCACACTACTTAGCTCTTTTGCCTGTATGCTGCCTAGCTTTTAGAACCACACATTGCTGTAACAGCTTGCTGCCACCTCTAACCTGTAGTGGAATGCGATGGACACTACATGCATTAGCAATAGTTGGCTATTTTTACCCTGCGGCCACTGTGCAAGACTAAGCGTGCCACCGCCCTAGAGATCTAGCATTCGGGGATTGATGTATGGCCATGCCCCGCGCTCTATTCTATCTATAGTACCTAGAGGTTTAAGCACTAAACCTATTAATAACCTAGAAAACTTAGTAAAGCAGTAGCTTTCTAGCTAATTAAGCGCAGACACGCTTTTAGCTAAGGCAACACCTAACCTTATAGATCTAGTAGCCTTAAACCTCCTACGCAAGTTATTAATTACAAGCTTAAAAATTCTAGCAAAGGATCTAAGCACCCTAAGGAAGATAGACAGCTAGAAAGACTGTAGTAAGTGTGTATACTGCTAAGCTTCTTTAAGGTAGAAACGCATTAACTAGAAGATTAGATTAAGAACTGTTATAAAGCTATAGTGCTTATTAACTAGGCAAAAAACCTGCATAGAGAGCACCTGCTTTATTTAAAAGGCAAACTCCTCCTCTGCAACTGCAGTTTTAATGCGCTGCTGCTTTTAAGCAAAGGGCTTAGACAAATTAGGATCCTCTAGGGTAAGCTAGCCCTATAGACGCCGCAACAGCTGTTGCCGCTTTGCAGCTACGCAGCTAGAGGCATTAGCTTCTAACTCTAGAAGTGCTAGAGCAGCTGTTGCTATTCCTTTAGTTGTAAGAAAGTTGTCTAGCCTGTAACAGATGCTCTACTTAATGTTAGAGTATCCCTAAAAATACCTATAATTAAGCACACTAGCGCTATTATTCTAGTAGCTTATATTGTCTTGCATAATAGCAAAAAGGTTATCTATTAAAAATGCTAGTAGCTGCAGGGATAAGAAATTTCTGTATGCTAGGTAGAATGCTAATAGGTAGAAGGTAAAGTTACGTAGCTATTAAAACTCCCTTAAGACTATGTTGCAATTAGCAAAAAGGCAGCGTGCAAGTTTATTATCTAGGTTAGAAGAGTGTGCATTTAGACAGTTAATGTCTACTGCTAGAGTGTATAAAATAGTATTAATGTTGTTAAGTGCATACTTCTGCTCTAATTTAGTCTAAAGCTAGCTAAGGCTATTAGTATAGAGAGCCTAATAGTTAACCTCCCTATAAATGTCTAACTCTACTTTTAGTAAACTCTTGCTAGGTGTAAACCCTAGTAGTAGCAAGATGTTAAAACCTTAAGCCTCTTTTTCTAGATAAAAATATATATATTTACTTATAATGTATTGCAAATTTAACATACCCTCTGTGGCCCCTAGGGGTTAGGCTACTAAATAAAAGAAATATGTAATAACAGCCTAAATAGCTTAAGATAGTTACGCGTGTAGGCACTAAGCGCATCCTAACTTACGTGCAACACCTAATAACATTGTGTTCTACCCCTGTGAGGCATTTTCTAGCTTTAGCAGCCACGCGTCGCCTCTAATGCCCTAATCCTCTTGCTATGTGCTGCTGTACTTTAGAATAGTCACAGCTCTAATGCTAGTTTAATAGACAATTTTCTAACCTTCTTTTGCTATCTAGCTTTTAGGCGCTTGCCCTGCTATTAGGACTTTCTACTAGCAGCAGCTGCATCTTTTTTCTACTACTGCGCAGCCTTAGAAGGGTTTGTACTTTGTCTAGTGCCAGCGCACCTAGATCTTGCGCTAACAGAGGCTAAGAATTACCTATCCTGTAAGCGCTAGCAGTCACCCTATCTCTGCTACTTTAGGTTGTGGAATACTCTCTATGTGGCTTATGTGTGCCTAATCTGCTATCGCAAACAGCTACCTTATTTCTACTATAGGCCTTGCTAAGAGCAACTAACTAACAGTTAGATAATAGGCTAGAGAAGAAAGGGCTTAAAGGACGCAATTCCTCTAGCAGCGCATTGTACTTTGCATGTTCTGCCTTTATTAGTTAAACTGTTAATAGCTGCTATTCTTTGCTATAACCTTCTAACGCTTCTGCGTATTGCTTTGCAGCCTACTTAGTAATTACTAGCTTTATTATCTTACATAAGTTATCTACTGCACTTTTCTCTCTTAGCGCTAGGTTTTGCGCTACCTCTAGGATACAGGATATTAATTTGTAAACAGCCTAAGTAATTATAGATACAGGTTTTAAGCTTATCTCCCTAGAATCCTTAGTGTTAAACTGCACTAGGCATTTGTGCTGTAAATGTAGGCTAGCTAACTTAACAATAAGAATTAGCATGTCTCTTTATGCCTAATGCTTAAACTATTTAGCATAAGCATCCCTAGCATTGTTTAGGTACTTATGTAGGTAATGCTTTATTTCTAGGCTAGTAAAATTGCTTATTTTGTCTCTAATGTACTCTAAAAGACACTTTTAGAGTTTTATAGACTGCTTCTCTGCATTATTGCTGCACTTTTTCTGCAAAGCTAGCAGAAGATCCTTATGTAGAAGAGGCTTGTTGTTGTTACACTTGCTAACTCTTACAAGATTACAGTTTAGCTATTAGTAAATATAAAATATAATAATGCTTATTACCTTCCCCTTCTGCTTTATAGTCTTAAGGAGGGAGTAGACGTCTGCAAAGCTTAGGTCTAGCGTTAAAAGCACAAATTAATACAGAATATTGTATACATT